TGCTACAAATAAGAAATTTACTTTTTGTTTTACAAATTTTTCTTTTTCTGTAATACATTTTCTTATCACCCGAACGTAAAATATGAAAAATACGCGGTTTTCTGGGTGACGCTGACTAGCGACGACACTGAATCTCATTGCTCCTTTTTCTTTTCGCTGAATGTTCACAGGGGACTACATCAAGGAGAAGTACGACAGCGCGACGGAGGTGCGGGTGTCCCGGCGCGGGCGGCTGCAGCTGCGCGACCCGCGGTACACGCTGCCCACCGCCTCGGACCTCGTGTACCTGGACGACTCGCCCAACTACTGCGTGCGCGACATGAGCGTCGGCTCGCTCGGCACCCAGGGCCGCCACTGCAACCGCACCTCGCACGACATGGACGGCTGCAACCTGCTGTGCTGCGGCCGCGGCTACAACACGCAGAAGATGACGGTGCGCGAGCGCTGCGACTGCAAGTTCCACTGGTGCTGCTACGTCGAGTGCAAGATGTGCACGCAGACGGTGGACGTGCACACGTGCAAGTAGAGTAGTGTGGTGTTGGTGGTGCCGCACCGGCTGCTGTCACCATCATCATGCACCACCATCATCATAATCATCATGGTGATCACCTGCAACCAAGGCCGATCGAGGCTGTGGTTGCAGAAGCCTGTCACTGGTAATACAGTCGTCGCCTGCACGAACGAAATTGGTGGGCGGGCCTCCGCATATATGCCACTATAGTGGCGGAGTGAAGACTGTGTGCGGTGGGCGAGCACGGAGCGCTGCCGAGCTTCCAAAATGTGAGCCCTCTGTCGCGTATGCGCTTACTTCAGCTCTACCCTATGTATCGGCACGCTGCAGCAAAAGAAGAGAAGAAAAGAGCACAACAAAATGTAAATTGCATTGTAATAATGCAAATGTGTTAGCCGTTCCAAGTACATTGCAGTTTCCTAATGAAGTTGACTTTAAGAGAACGGTCTTCTCCGGCTGGTCGCGCTGCCGGCAGAGTGATTCGATCACACGAAACGACACTTTTACGGCCGAGAGTACTTAAAAAAACAAATGCATTTTTGCCTACATATTTGCTTGAAGTCACAGTTAAAGCCTTGCAAAGGGCTCGTCGGAATCCTTTTGCAATTGCGAAGTAATGCTTTGTAAAGACAATGCAAATGCCTGAAGTGCGTAGGGGTTTAGACGACTGCTTCGCAAGGTTTTAGCTGTGGGCCAAGTTGATTTAACTGGAGGTGATGAGCGCTGTGATGAAATGGTGCTCGCGTGTGTAAATACCAAAACGTTGTTGAAAACTGCTGTAAATGGTATGCCTTTTAAATGTAAACAACATATCAACTGCCATTTAAAGTGCCAAAATTTAACCCGAGTCAGACTATTTTGACTGTGAGTGTGGGACTTGTTTCGCCTTTTCTTTGAGGATGCCAAACAATGTTATCTCAATTAATTTGCTCTCTGGCCTTACCAGACTATGTGGCTAAGCGACTTACACATTGTGCCATAAAAAAAGTATCAGACTTGTAGCATGTCATTTGTATCTTTTGTAGATTTTTATCAACTCTCTTTGTTAATGTTCATTCCTGTGTGTACGCCTAAACCCACAAGTATTGTTGTCACACAAAATGACATTCCCTTTCGAAATTTTAGCGCCTAGATCTGCGTAGTCCGACGTAGCCTATTCCTGCGTAAGTTGCCGCGTGGGACGCGTACTTACTTATGTCAAGTGCTGTACCCACTTACATTAACGCTGTGTTTTTGGTGCACCGGGCGGACCTCCCTGTTGCGGGTTTGCCTATTTGTTTCGACCGTAAGTGACCATCACACCGTATAGTCATTGGCCCCATACGGCCAGAGCAAGTGGGCAAACCCATGGTCTGTGCACCCTCCACTCACACCGCACTGATAGTGCAACATTTTTACTGCTTTGTAATAAATGTCGTGGATTGTGGCCATAGCGATTAGGACTGCAAAGCCGGCGACGGGACGCTTAACCCTGATGCTGCGATGTCTTGGGGAAGTCCAGTGAGGCCGCATCCTTTTAGTCGCCCTTATCCGCCGTGGCCATCTTCGGGTGACAAAAAAACCGTTCTTTTACTTGTACAGATCTCTTTCTTGTTATGCCTTCCTATAGTCTCTGTAGCTACAACCATTATTTATTGTATGGAAATATAGACGACTTGTACAGTAGTGCTTTTTGTGTATACCGTTAAATAGTTAAAACTTTTATTTAATAAAATGTGTATAAATATGCCAATCTTTAAAGCGTTTTGCCTGACTCAAAAATAATACACTTCATTCTGTATGCACAGTCCACCTAATAAAAACCACACAAAAGGGATGGGTGGGGGAGGGTAAGAATTTTAAAGATGATGAGATACTCACTCCCCGACCTTCGCACACCCTTTGCCCCTTACATAAGGGGTCAGACAGACATCAGCCGCATTATCAGACGACGGGGGACGGGCTTTCATCGGTACCCTACTCGGGCGGTAGGCCATCTCTCGGGCAGCCCCCCCCCCCCCCATCTTTTACCACGTTACGAAAAGCAGTAGTTCCACGTTTATTCGGGTGCGCAAAATGAAGATACCGCGAGCCGAGCGATGACGTGACAGCAGGGTAACGATTTAAGTGTAAACGCGCTTAAGAACTCTCGACGGCCCTCTTCCGGCGGTCGCCGCGTGCCGGCTGCGCTTCCTGCTTAGGAAGGGAAGTGCTGGACTGGAAGCTTATCGCGAGCGGGACGAATGGGGAGAGCTTGTTGGCTAAACGATAGCAAAGCCTCATACTCCAGTGACCGAAAATGGCTCGCATCCGTCTATCTCTGTCTGGGAAGTTTCTGCCTCTGTGTACTCCATATACTCACATCAGGCATAAGGCCGAGGTTGATTTACCAGGTGGCTGATTAACCCCCCGTGGTTATGCTGTACCGCGTTCCTACATGGGCGGGCGGGTTGCCCACTACTCGCCCGGCCCGCAATGGTCAGGGGTCAGGGTGCCGTGGTTAACCAGCCACCTGGTACAGTACGACGCCACGAGTGTACTGTAAGTACCGCACGCATGCGTGCATGTGAGCTGGCCTCCGTCGCTCACCGTGGCGCCGTGCGAATATGCAACCCGCACGTACTCCTGCATGCGGTACAGCACAAGCAAAATAACGGTAGGGGTATGTGGGCCACCCTGTGTACCTCTCTCGCCGTGAAGAGAAGAGACACAGGAGCAGACTCTAAAGAGATGTGTCCACATGGGGCTTAGAAGAATAAGAAACACAACTGTCCCCGGCGCCGACGGGCTTGACGACAACCGCGGGCTCGCGCTGCTGGGCTTGTCGATGACTGCCCCTCCCCTCCCCACCCACCACACACGCGTCCAGTACTAAGTACAACGCAACGACGGGACGCTCCGAGTCTGGGGCCGAGTCGGGCCGAGCCGAGCGACGGCGAACCCCCCGCGAGCTGCTGGACGCGAAGGCCGGACGGGTTGCCTACGGCGGGTCCGCGGGCCCGCGGCCGCGCGGCCGTCAGTGCTCTCCTGTCACCCTGCGCGGGCTCGCTGGCTCCACGTCGCTCCGAGGTTCGTGTTGCGGTCCGTGTCGCGGGTCAGCCAGGGCCACCGCCGTCCTCGGTCAGGCCGTTTGGTAGTGCTTTATCGCCAAGTCGGGGTCCAAGACCAGGGCGCTCACTGTCTAGACCGGTCTCTAGACCATAGAGCGGCTCTTGACACTACTTCACTACTATCTCTCCCTCCCTGACCCTTCACTTGGCGCGACGCCCCGGCCACAGCTGATCGCGGGGAGTGGGGTGGCGGCGCGTGGCGCGTGCTGTCACCGCTGCTGCCGCTGCTACCGCCGCCACCACCACCGCTACCGCCGCCGCCGCCGCCGTGGCCAGACGGACGCGCCGGAGTGAGGTTATGTTCGTCTAGAGTGCTCCGCTACAGGCGCGAGGGTTATGTCCCCGCGTCAAGTCCGCGTCAGAGTCGAAGGAGGCGAGGAGGCGCACCCGCGGCTGCGTTGACTGGCGTCGGGAGGTCCTGCCCCGGGATTCGGGGCGGATGACAATGCAAGCTTGACCTTGTAACTAGCAGGGTTAGTGCTTCGACCGCTTGGGTCGGAGCCTAGGCTCTCTCTCCCTCTCTCTCGACTAGTCAATAAATACTTCTTTGCCGTATTCGCGTCGGGACCCGTGCGCTTTGACGAGGATTCTATTCGCCCAAAGCACGCCGTAGGTCTTTTCTTTTGATTTCAGTTTACTTTTCTGTGAAAATTGAATTCTAATTTAGTGTTTATGCTAGGGGATGTTTGTAAACAAAGGTACTTGGTTTCCATGTAATAGACATTATAACCTGTACAGGCACAGGTCTTTGGGGATTTATAGAGAAATTTAAAGCAACATTTCTTGTTTCAAATTATCTTAATTATCTATAATTTTTTTTACATTTTTGATATGGAATAGTCACAGTAGAGTCTTGCGGTTTGATCAGGCGTTCAGTTCGATGTTTCTCGGCATCAAGTTTTCTAATCCACTTTTGTGTTTTTTACAGGTCATCTTTCAGAAAACATGTTCAGCTTTGCATAAACTGGCAACAAACTAAATTATGGGATTTACCTTCAACTTCATAATTATTTGCAAGAATCCATAATGGCAGTTGGCGAAGATGGAGTGGCTGGCGACCATGGCTCTGAAACTTCAACTAAGAATGGATCGGCAACAGAAGTGGATGCTACCTCCACATCTTCGAATGCGGGGAATAGCTCCAGTGGCTTTGGAAGCAGTGTCCTACCAGGAGTGAGGGAAGCTTCTCGAAAACTTCAACTGAAAATGAATTTTAGGACACTCTCTTCTCCAAAAAGATATGGTGAGTCGTAATAGGCATGCTCAAATTTATCTTTCTAATTATACATGCATGAAACTTTATTTCATCTGATTTGCATGATACAGTAAAGTTTATTGACTCATACCTGCTCTTTGACTTGACCCCTCCATCTTAATTAAAGAGACCTGATGCATGCTTTGTGCAGTGGTTTTGTACTACAAAGAACACTATGCACCACTACCACTACTCTGTCTAAGTTATCTTGCTTTCTTTCTACAACACACTATTCTTCTCTTTCTTTCATGTATCTGTACTTAGTGGGCTTGTTAATTTTTATGGTGAGAGGTGCTTTACATTCTCTGTAAATTCAGCTTGATTTTAAACACACTGACGTACGTAGTAGTAACACATAGGAGTAGTGACCAGTCACCGTGTCGAAACTGTTTCGTATATTTCTTGCCTCTAGATATTGCTGTGGCATTTTCTCTTTAAATTTACCTATTAATGTAAGGACCATCTAAAAAAATTTCAGTCACCTTTAATGCAATACACTTAGAAAGTGGGTCGATGCCAGCCTGGCATATAAGGGGAATATGGCACAAACATGCCACACAGAGAACATTACAGCTTTGACAATCAAACTACCGTACTTCCATGTTCTGTCCTGTTTCTCAACCGCTTTACGACGTGCATTGGCATCCGGAGAGCAGAGATACATGGCCTGCAGGGGGACGGGGGCGGGACGAGGGGGGGGGGGGAGGGTTTCTGTGCAGGAAGGGCGGGGCGCGGCGGGGCTGGGCGCGTGGGCGCTGGAAGTGGAGTGGACCGGGCAGCCGTGGGCGCGCGCGCCGTGCCTCCGCCCCGGACGTGTCGCCGCCGAGGCGCCCGTCCTGCTCCCGCCGCTCACCGTCCTGCTGCTGCACCTGTCCTGTCCTGCACGCCTCGCCTGGGCGCGAACTTCCTGAACCTTGAACCTCGCGGTGCCGCTTCGTGTCGTGCCGGCTGTACCTGCCCATGCCTCCGTTGCATAAGAGCGGTCCCTGTCACCTGCCACAATACCCACGTGTGTATGAGTTGGGATTTTCAATTTCCCCCCCAAAAAAAACGTTTTGGAAATTTTTTATGAAAATCTCTTAATTTTTTTCCTGGAAATTTTTTTGTTTTTCAATTTTTCTGGGAATGTTTCAATTTTTTCCAATTTTTTCCTGGTAAAGTTTTCTATTTATCTTGAAAAATTTCGGATTTTAAAATTCTTGCGTGTGTGAGGATGCCGCGCATACTCTTGGCGAATGGGACGCTCTCTCCAGCCGCACTGACGTCTGGACCGTGGAGGCTGCGCAGGCTGCGCCGCGGCGGAGGTGACGTTAGTGCCCCGGCGCGCCCGCCTCGCCTCGCCCCGCCTCGCCACGTCGCGGCCGCCGGTCGGCTGCCCCCCCCCCCCTCACGATGTTTGTTATTTCACTGCTATTCCCGGTGATGCGCGCGCGAGCACGCCACGCGATTCGCGTGGAGTCGAATGTATGGAAACGTTTAGCGAGAGGCTTTAGGCGAGTCAGCCCCGCCGCGCTGCCGCGCCATAGCGTATGCGTCTTGTCTCGACAAGTTGTAAATCCCCTTCACTTTGCCTCCTTCGTCTCACAGTGCTGCCAGATAAAAGTAGACTATTTTGTGGTCCTTTGTGGGTCGCATCTATTGCACTTAGGCAACCCCTCGTCACCGGTGTGTATGTGTGTGTGTGTGGGGGGGGGGGGTTGAAGGTGGCTTAGTGGGCAGACTCATAGATGCAGCCTACAACATAAATGTCGTTCGTGGGGAGTTTTGCCTCACTGTTTACCGTGTATATATGGCGACACTGCCTTTGCCCCCGATACGCGCCTATCCCTCGACTCGCGGACGCGGATGCTGTTCTTGCCTCTCAAGAGTCCGCTGCGGGGTCCACGATCATGAGGTGGGCGGTGGGCCGTCTCCAGGTGGCATCAGGACAGTGTCAGTTCTCTTCTCCCCGGCTGTCAGCAGCCAGCTTGAGCTTGACGGCCAAAGGCCCCACTGTTGACCAACGGCCGTGGGGAGCACTCCGGCCGCCCGCACGTCCACCGTTATGAATTTAGAACATGTCGAGGACTCGTGTCCTGTTAGTAGGACTCGTGTCCTTGTAGTGTACCCCACATGGTCGACACGAGGGATAGGGGACTTTCAGCAGCACAGTTACAGGGTAGAGCGTCCTCGATCAGAGGGGTGGGGCAGTAGTGGAAAGGGGGGGGGGCAGCCGGGACGACTTTGGGCAGAGTTTTGTCTCTGTGGTAGGCGAAGCAAGGAGGGACTTTGGATGATTCTTCTCTGGAAAAGTTAGGAAAGCAAGACGCATCCACAATTCCATCGCACAGTTTTCCGCCCCGCTTCCTGTTGAATAAGTAAGTATGCGCATTCGTTGCCCCCCGCCCCCGCCCCCACCCTGCCCCCGCCGCGCACGTGCGCGCACGAGATCGCACGGGTGGGTACGTGGACCCGGTTATTGTTCCGCTCGTGTTATCACTGGCCAGGCGCCGGGGCGGGAGCGGGAGCTAGTCGGGATCACGCCGCCGCCGCGCCCGCATATCCGGAGGGGAGGGAGGTAGGGAGCGGCCCAGCCTGCGGGTGGTATTGTCGGCGCCACGACACTTTTTATTAATCTTCCAGCTATGCGTCTCGTCTCTGGACCATTTTCGGACGTGGCGGGGGCCGGGTTCTTTGGTTGCATGCTGCAGCAGGATCGCGTCGCGCCAGCACGCCGCCGGCCGGCCGCCTCCCGCGCCAGGCCAGCCTCAGCCCCCTCCGCCTTAGGCAAGCCCGTCGCGCGCGCGTACGGAGCAGCTGGCCTACCCGCCCGGGCTGACGGTCCAGCCCCGGCCCCGGCGGCCGGCGGTACTCCCCGCTGCGCGCGGGGTCTCGACGACGGTCTGGGCGCGGGCGGGCGAGCGCGGGTGCGGGCGTGCTCAAGCGTGTTGGCGTGCGCGGCGAGGGAGACCTAGGGAGACACGACACTGCCGGCCGGCGGGCTGCACGCCACGACCAGGCCGGACGGCCGAGCCATGCTCTGCGATCTGCGGGCCGCGACTGTCCGCCGCACGCTCGCTTCGCTCGCGACGCTAATCGCGCAAAAAACGTCTTTATCAACAACGAGATTGGCTTCATATCGGTCGGCGCCGCGCCGCCGCGCTGGATGCTGTGACTTTGCAAGACGGGACCCACACGGCGGGCGCGCAGCGAGTGCGACAGAGAGAGAGAGAAAGGTGATCGACGGGGTCGTGGCCCCCCCGCTGCTGCGCTCGCCACTCTCTCTATCTCTCGCACTGTGGTATCGCCTCAAATGCGCGACGATATGACTCCAGAACAACAACCAACGAATGCACCACCGCGGCAGCGGGCGCACGCACGCGCCGCCCGTCCCGTGAACCGCGAGCCGCGCCCCAGCTCCGCTCCGCCCCGCCCCGCCTTGCCGAAGGAACACGTTACGACTTAATGAGCAGGTGGGTGAGTCATGTGAGCCCACCCTTGCCTCTGCTCGCCCCCCTCCCA